CGCCTGCGCTGCGCGCGCCCCTGCCCGGCGCCGCCGCCTCCGCGCGCCCGAGTTGCCGGGCGCCGCGAGGTCGTGTGTCAGGGAGCCCTGAGCCGCCCGGCTGTCGGTAGCCTTTCGAAAACAGCTTCACTATTGAACAGACCCGAATCTTCCATGATTCCGAGGAAGCCTGCTTGCTAGAAAGTTGTTAGTAAGGGAGCATCTCGACGGTCCCGTCGGGCCGTGACAGCACGGGCACAGCCGGAGCCGAGCCACCCCTCGCCTCGCCCTGCCGACGCTCGGCCGCTCGCTGCGGGGGGTCCCAGCGCTTGGGGTCGGGGATGTTCTGCCGTCTCGGCCACGGCTTCAGTCAGAGTTACGCCAGACCCGGGCCTGGCAGATTAGGGACGGAATGAAACCGCCCGACTGGACGAACCGACCCTGCTTGGCATGGCTGTGTTGGAAGTAATTATGGCCTAGTAGTAGAAAAGGAGTAACATCTAATTAGTATTTCGTATGCCAACTTGAACAACAGCAGCAAGAACAACAACAAAAACCCCCAGAAATTATTTAGTTAACACCGTTCAAGAGTTATGGAGTTCCCATGCATAAAATTAAAAATCCAGATTAGTAATTGGGGGAGTAGTTAACATGTAGCAGACACCAAATAGAATAAGGAGTGTATAAATTGATAAAAAAAATGAGGAGAAATATCGAATTATCCTTTTAAAAATAATTTTAAGATTGACATTTTGTTTTTAAAGATTAAAATGGTTGATTTTTTAAGATGACATTATTAGCATAGCATTTTTACATCTCCTAAACTTTTTTTTATTTATAGTCTCACCATACAGTATTGCTAGGCTGGCCTTGAACTTGTGATCCTTCAACCTTCCTAGTAGCTGGGATTATAGGCCACTACCCCCCACTATGGTTTTCCTGTGTTTAAAATAAGAGTGGCATATGAATACATTGGTATGAAAATGGGTAGCAAATTGTGTTTTATAAGTAATTTCCAAGATACACGTGGTGTGGGGCTGGGGAGATGGCTCAGTGGAATAAGTAGTTGTCTGGCAAGAGCAAGGTCCTGAGTTCAATCCCTGGTATCACCAAAAAAAAAAAAAAAAAAAAAAAGAAAGAAAGAAAAAAGATACACATGATGCTTTTACATTAACATTTATGAGGGGAAAAAAAAAGGTTGACAGTATAGTCTTGATAGCATGGAAACCTGGTGAGAGGGAGAGTGGACAGATAATAAAATCCTACCTTGTGCTGCTGTTTTGAGGTATCACCCGTGCAGATGGAGTGTAAGACAGAGACAGACTGAATGGAAAGGAAAAGAAGGTTGTAAAATGGTTCTTTGAAGCTGTGTGTAAATAGATACATAACCAAAAACCAAGATAATAGTAATTCAGCATTTATTGAGTAAAGCATCTATATTGAGAAAAGGGGCCCTCTGAGTTCTGTTAGTAAAATAAGAATCTGAAAGAAATATAGACGGAATCTCCTGAGATAACAGAGTCGTATATTACTGGGCTGAAGATACAGTACAGTTAGGTGAAATAGCTAGTTTAGGAAACTTTCGTTTTCTCAGAAGGTGTAAGTAGAGAGAATGGAACTGCTGCATTCTTTCTTCAAAATTTACATGTGCCAAACACTTCTTTACATACATTAAACTGCATGACAGTATCTCAGTTTCACAGATACTTGAAATTGATAAAGCTGTGGCATAACATTATTCAGATAACCAAACAGCAGAAATAACTCAAAGTGAGAAACCACTTAGCTTAAATGGATTCACACTTTCATAGTGGCTTCTCATTTTGAGTTATCAAGGGCTGATGTGTGAATGAAAGCAGTAGGAAGAAACAGTACTGGTAACATCACTGGATCATGAAAACATTATGCTAAGTAGTAGAGGCTGCAAAGGACCACATTTTATGACTCCACTTATATGAAATGTCCAGAATAAACAAAGCAGAAAAAAGTGGATGCTTAGATCTGGAGGAGAGATCAAAGGAACTGGGTTTCCTTTGAAGTAATGAAGATATTTTCAGAATGATTGTGGTATTAAGAAAGATTTATGGCTTTGTGAAGAGAATGGAAATCATTGAATTGTAAATTTTAAGTGGGTAGATTGTATGCTGTGCCAGAATACTTTACCTATAATAGTACGTGCTGGGATCATGTGCTGCTTTTGCTTAACGACCTGCAGAGACCTCTAATTGTCTGAAGTTAACTTCAGTTTACTTTGGAAGATCTACATACAGCCTGGCCCCAGTCTGCCTTGTTTCTCTTACCTTCTTTCACCTGTATAATCTTGATTTTTCCCTCTTGTCCCTATTGTTTACTCTTCTTGAAATCTTTCACCTCGTACCTGTTGCATTTGTAGCTACCCTTCAGGTCTTAGTGTAAATGAATTAGCTTTCACAGTGGTGTCTCGTTTTTACCTAGCCTCATGGGCTTCTGTAGCACCTCATTTGCCCTTCTTGAATGGCTCTTCTCACTAAATATGTTTCTATTTACTACCTGTCTTGATAAATTTCTTGAAGGTAGGTATACTGTTGTGCCTTACAAGGCTTTACATTCCTAACTGGCCGAGGGCAGTGGTGGCAGCCTATGGTGTGTGTGTTGTTTCTCTTAAGACAAAAAAAATGTCAGTGTGGAGTTATTTTTTCTAAAATTAACCCACTGGTATTTAGGTTTAATTGCAGCATTGGCATGTTGAGATAGTAAGTGGGTTTAGGGTTGCAGTTTGGGACTCTGTAAGGTTTGCCTAGGTTCACTGTCTGGGAGTGTGATAGGTAACAGTGCTTTCTAAAACAATTGATTCTTGTTTTGTAATTTTCTCCTACTTCTTACTACCCCCATCTGTTCAGTATTATCGAACTCCTAGAGGAATGTATCAGTAGGAGACAGACAAGGTCCCTTGTTTAAATTCAAGTGGGAAGTAATAGAAAATTAATATGTGAACAATAAACAAGCATGGCTGTTTCAGTCAGTGATAAGGAGGAAAGAGAAGCTCCTCTAAATATGTGGACGGGGAGATGGCTCAGTAGAATAAGTGCTTCCCTGGCAAGCGCAAGGGCCTGAGTTCAATCCCCTGGTTCCGCAAAATAAATAAATAAATAAATAAATAAATAAATGGATTAGGAAAGGTTTGTCTGAGTAGGAGACATTTGAGTCATGACCTAGAACTTGAAAAGGAATGAGCCTTTAGGGACTACCTGAACACACTCTCACAACAACCTTGCCTGTAATACCAGTCCCATCTTCCTACCTCCGTCTGTACAGCGCTGGGATTACAGGCATGTGCCACCACACCTGGCTTGAAAACTTTTTTTAATTAGATTTTATTGGTACCTTTTAGATACACATAATGATCACATTCATTGTAGAGAATTTGACCTGTAGATGGTATACCTTGGGTTTTTCCCATTTCCCTGCCCTTCCTTCAGCCCCATCCTCCCCCTGTACAAAGTTTTGTTTCCATGGAAAACCTCTTTAAAAAAGAATACTTTAGTATTTTGAGTGTAAAACACAAGATTTGTTTATAAAACTAATTCCCATATTTAAAATTATTGAAGGTTTCTATTGCAATTTGGTACTTTTTGCTACATGGAAATGGTAATAAAAATAACATAAGAGATTGTAAATAAAATTGGATAAAGTTTATTTTAAAAGCAAATATGATTAAGGAAGTGCAGAGGCTGGAGTTCAATCCCTGGCACCACATGCCCTGCTGGTCCTGCCCCTGAGCACGCTGAGTCCTCGACTGAGTCTAGGCATGGTGGCGTACGCCTGTAATCCCAGTGCTGGAGAGGCTGAAAACAGCAGGATCACTACGAGTCCAAGCTGCATAGTGAGACCCTGCACAAAATACAAAAAACAAAACAAAAACTAATTAGCCATAAAGTAAATTCAAAGAATTGATGGCATTTCTGGTCCTTATTCGTAATATCACTGTTTGTTCTTTCATCTATAACCAGTAGTCTACTGTAATATCTAATTTGTATTTGTCAAGTATTTTAAAGGAATTGTTAGAGCATATAAACCTAAGTTAATTGCAAATTATTTTATTTTTTCCATAATTTTATTGATAGCAATAAGACAGTTTCAAATCAAATTGGTAGGACAGTTTCAATAATTAACACATTGCATACTCTCTTCCTAGTGGTTATTTGCTGTACAAGATGCAGACAGTATATCCTATTTACAAACACTATTCCAACAAATCCCTCTATTCATTAAGAGAATGTAACTATACATCTGTCCTAACCATTTTGAATACACAGATACAAAATGGACATTCATTTATATATCCCCTTTTTTTAGTTCTGTTATGTGAATATTATAGGTGTGTTAACCCAGCAAAATATTGTAAAAGAGTCCAGTAATCTGTAATAGTATTGGGTCTTCCACTTGACTGGCAGTGACAGAAATTGTTGACAAGAGTCCCCTACAGCTCAACATAACACCATGGCTTTACTTCTTGTACTTCATTTTTATACTTTTCTGCTGGATGGTTAAGACCAAGATAAAGCAAGACCTATGCAACAAGAGTTGTAGCTTTTGGATCTGATAAGGTCAGTCAAATCCCTTCAGGATTTATCCTGAGATCCTCTACCTCAGATTGTAGATCCTTTGTCAGTGTCAGCCATGTGGATGAGTCACGGCCGTTGCT